TTCATCTCACATAAACTCATCTATTTTTTCTTTCCTAATTATTGTTTTGTTTTTGCAATTCTTCCATTTTTCTATTACTCCAATTTCAAGAAACAATAAATTATTATTTAGGTGATTGCTATGTAAAAAATCTTTAATTATATAATCATATAGGTTAACTTTCAGAATATTCTTGTAACAAATTTTTTTAATTTGAAAACTATTATTCACTTAAATTAGATGAAAGACCTGAGTATTAAAATGAAAAAGAATTGATTTTTTAAATAGCTTTTTACTCATGATGGTCAGAAATTAAATTACATGGAGGTTACTCCCAATATAGAATTAGGATAACAAAATTTTTGCTAGTATCAGAAAAAATAAGGGCAAAACATTTTTAAATTAAGGTGATCAATCTCTACACGTAGGAATTCAAAACAAGGTTGAGATATTTTTTTACAAGTTCTGATAATTTTGTTTCTTTATCTTCAAAATAAAATAAAATTAACACACAGGGAAAACAAATGGAAAATTTTCCTTATTCTGTCTTCATATATTTACTTTTCCTATTTTCTTTCTTTCATTTATTTTAAGAACAAAAATGAAGAGCATGTATTTGTATAAGATATATGCACTTTTTCCTTTTGGACTTGATTGTACGTACCTTGCTAATCCAAAACATGAGATGTTGAGATTCCCTTTCAAGTTGGCTGTCTCCATGTGTCATCTCAGTGCTTGAACATTCTGAAACAACTATTTGTGCTCCATGACATTCGATTACAACTAAACTTTCCAATGATGGCCATTCTGTGATGTGCGTTTGAGGGAAGAAACTCTTGAATTTCGGTAAGAGTCTAAGTATCAGGTTTGTCACTTGAGAAAATACAAGCTTGGTGGCCTCTTTTTCCACCAAAGTCGATTGCGTGGCTAGCAATTTTTGTGATCTGGTATCAAAATTGACTCTTTCAGAGTCAGAAAATTTTCCTAGAGAATCACAATTGGAGCAAAATGTTGCAAGTTGGGGTAGGTCATTAAGTATCAAGGTCTCTAGTTCGGGGAACACCGTCTGGCAAATCTTTTCTTCTTCCACTGTCCCTTCTGTCAATATTACCACTTCCATCATCTCACATCCACTAACCCCAAGTTCTTCAAGTTGTGCAAAACTTTTAACCATTGAGAATATGAACAGATGCTTCAAATTGGAACAGTTGACCACCTTCAACTTTGTTAAATTTTGAGCAAATGAAGATATTGATGAAAGATGACTGTTCCAAATTTGCTTTGTATTGATTGAGGATAGAGTCAACTTCTCCAAGTTAGGAATCTCAACCTACAAAAAAGGTTTAATTACAATAAAACTTTTATTCTTGAATCAAAGAAAAGTGTAAAAATAACATGAGAGCATAATCTTGAATTTCATACGATATAAATTTTGATATAGAAAAATTTAGTTTACGAGGAATAACAGTACACATGTTCTTATTCTCGCTAAGACTTTGACCTTTGTGCATCAAATACATTTATGTCCATAATTATTGAAGTGATGTAGAAGAGTGGAAATTATACTCTATGAAAGAAGTGTAGTGAAGTCTTGCACTTGTCCAATTTGTGAAAAAATATTAAAACAATAAAAAATAAAAAATAAAACTCACCTCATCACAAAAGAAGACCTCAATGAAGATATTAGGTTCTTTCTTGACAAGCAATTCCTCACTTCTTCCATCAGTTGTCTCTTTCTCTTGCTCACTTGAAAATTTAAAAGTGAATCTAACCATCTTTAGACAATCCTTTACAATAATTTTCTCCAGCATTGGAAACTTGAGGGTCTTACTTCCCACATAGAAACTTGACAACTTGGAGCAAGACTCTAATGAAATGGACTTTAGTTGTGGGAAAAATATTGAATCAGATTCAACTACCTCTCCAACTCTTGTAGCCATGATTACTTGTTCTATTGCTGCACAGTCTTTTATCTTCAAGTTCTTGAGTTGCCCAAGGCGGAATGCCATGGAGGGGGTTAGAAGGTAGCTCAAGCTGCTACAATTGTTAACTTCTAGAGATTGAAGCTTTTTGAAAGGTAATATTAATTCTTCCGAATTCCTTTTCCAAATTTGAATTAACTCAGAAGACTCGGAGAGGGTTAAACTTTCAAACCCAAAGTATCCAACCTATAAAACCCAATAGATTAATTATCTTGGTATAACACTGAACCCAATAACAATAACAATGATATTAATCAAAGAAAGAAAATACATTAATAACTCTATCCAGTTAATCACAAAAATCGAATTGTAGAAATATACAAAAATATTCCTTTTAAGTTTTTGAAATTACTGTTCTTTCCTCTCTGTCACTACACTAATGTCTATATGATTATTAAATTAAGGATTATAGAAAATGAATGATCAACCCTCGGTTCTTTTAATGTACATTAGATTTAGAAACTAAGTGAAAGTGAAGCCGCCATCAACTGACCTTGTAAGCTCTTCTTCTAATCCCCTTACTGAAAGTGCTCCTATTCCTTGCCTTTGAGAAAGTTCAAACAAGAGAGAATGGCTAGCCTCTTAACCATCCAAAAGGAAGAAAGTAGACCTATGCAATTCTTTACCTTTCACTCTAAACTATCCCATACGATCCCAGCAAAAAACTTATTTAAAAAAGTTTTCTGAAATTATATTATATTAACATGTTCTTCTATTTCACTAGATCTAGTAACATTAAGGAATGAAGACTTAATATATAATGATAAAAAAACAGAAGGAAATCATTTGAATTAATGTGGGTACCTTTTGAGTGAATAAGTCCTATATTGTGCTGTCAAGATCGCCTGCCCAGTGTCTTTTCTCTTCATCATTTGTCCATTGAACATTTTGTTTTTCTTTATCAGCACTCCATTGAACATTTTGTAATTCTTTTGTTATTGTCTTTCCCATGGAAAAATATTTCATCTGTGGACATCCTATCACAATTGCTTCTTTCAAAGATGGGAACTCAAAGTCACACTTCCTTGTGCAAAAGCTTGAAAGTTTGGGAAGACCGCGAAGTTGCAACGACTTGAGTTGGCTAAAGACAATGCCATCCTTCACATTATCTTCCAAGCATTTGACAATTTCTTCCACCAAGTCACAATCAGTTATGCTCATTCTTTCCAGCTGTTCCAAGCTTTTGGCAGTTGAGTAACTCACTAAATTTTCAAGTCCATGACATTTTGATATTTCTAGAGTCTGCAGGTTCACAAAAGATACAACTGATGGCACTAAATTCACCAATTTGATACACTCAAGCACCTCTAGACTTCTCAAGTTGTAGAAAATCAATTTGAGGTCAGATTCTTCCTTCCAAAGATGCATTAACCCATTAAGTTTCGATAATTTTAATTCTCTTAACCGAGGGGGCGCATCTGTAGTTCTTCCCTCACTACGAAGTCTTACACATTGGAATATTTCATGAAAGGAAGCTTCACTCACATTCAGCTTCTCAAGACTGGGTAGTGTTTGGAAGAAGAAATTAAAAGACCGAAGAAGAGCTGAGCATTTTTGGAATTGGAGGAGTTTAAAATCTTTTAGTTTGGGAAAATAGGCCCCTGGATATTGACCACGCCATATCTCCTTCATGCTGTCATTCTGTTGGAATTTTAGTTCTTCTAGACAGGAGAACGAATCCTGACAAATTGAAAAATACAATGTGTTATAAATTGAATAAAAAAAATACAAAATAGGAAAAGGGT